GTAGTAGCTGTTGTGATTTCACAATTCTTGATTTAGTAATATTAAATTGGGTATCTGAATTTTTTTTAGCAATGAAAAATGTAAGTGCACGGTATGAGCTGTCAACTGTAAATAACAAAGTCCCTCCCCTGACATTTTGCAATTACATGTTTACAAATCTGTGTATAGAAACATAAACTGTTCACCTACTTGAAGCTCTTAGTGGCATTAACTTTTGTGCTCTGTTATTAATACTAAAAATTCTCCTGGTTTCCTCCAAATGGCAACAATAAATTGGACCCAAATGATTATAATAAATACCCTCCAGCTAGCCCTGTGCACTCATATATTAACCACCTTACTGAGTTAATTTTCTCATCTTACAGAAATAAATGTAGATCTGCTAACAGACAGGTTTTTCACAGTAACCTGCCATTTTGTTGATATGTCCTGGTTACTTTATTATACTTTAAATTAATTTCCTTTTTTAGGATAGTTCATTAATCCTTTTCCAAATGCTTCCTCTGCAGTTTATTAATGGACTCAAGGAGAATGAGCTGAACGCATTAGTGCTCTAAAAACATTTTCTGTCACCTAAACTGTCTGCATTCATCTTACTTACATTCAGATGAATCATGAGAATTATCAGTGTTGTGAGTTATCAGTTGTTATACAGGAAGTCAAATCTAACTAGAAAGCTCAAGTATATCCATTAGTTTACTATTCACGAGGATGCCAGTAGTATTTGGCTTGTTATTATATTGTGATATTGATGGGCGTGGCACCCTACAGACTTAAAGGGACACTATAGTCACCAGAACAACTACAGCTTATTATATTTGTTCTGGTGAGTAGAATTATTCCCTTCAGGCTTTTTGCAGTAAACACGGTCTTTTCAGAGAAAATGCAGTGTTTACATGGCAGCCTAGTGATTACTCTGCCATGCCACAGATGGCTACTAGAGGTGCTTCCTGGGGCAGTGCTGCACACTATGCAGCACTGCCATTCAGTGTATCCACCCTCTCCATGTAAACACTGATCTTTCCTCATAGAGATGCATTGATTCAATGTAGCTCTATGAGGAGATGCTGATTGGCCAGGGCTGTGTTTGACGTGTGCTGGCTCTGCCCCTGATCGGCCTCCTTGACAGTCTCAGCCAATTCTATGGGAAAGCATTGTGATTGATCAGACCACCACTTCTGATGATGTCAACAGAAAGCAGGCAGATCAGGGGCAAAAGGCAGCCACTGCAGACGTGAATTCAAGCTAGATTTCACTATATTTAGGGAGGCAAGAGAGTCAGGGGGGCTAGATGGTGGTTTTAACACTATGGGGTCAGGAATACATGTTTGTGTTCCTGACCCTATAGTGTTCCACCTGTTAGTCAATTCTTCATCTATCCCAAAGAATTGACTCACAAGAGACAACAGAAATGCCTCCCACAGGTGGTCTTTCTGCTCCCTAACATAACAATCACAGTGCATGCATTGTGGTTGCTATGGTACCTCACTTGCCGATGCTGCAAATACTGGCTAGGGAGCATAGGAATGATTAGACACTGGTGTGCTGGCAAATAAAGCCACCAATAAATACAAATTATAATTATTAATTCATTTTTTTATCCATATACATTCAGCATAATTAAAAAATTAAAGGAACACTATAGGGGTTAGGAATACAAAGTATATTCCTGACACTATAGTGTTAAAACTTCAGTTTAAGCTCCTGGCCCCAATTTCTCCCCTTAAAATTTGTTAAAACTTACTTTTATTCCAGTGCCGCGGATCAGGCACATGCTGCGCCCTGATATGCCTCCATGGCTGAGATCATCAGAATTCATGATCTCAGCCAATCACAAGGCTTCCCGTAGGAAAGCATTGGATTGGCTGGGATTGGGGCTGGAGCCAAAGGCTGTCCCGGCCAATCAGCATCTCCTCATAGAGACACATAGAATCAATACATCTCTATGGGGAAAGTTCAGCATTTCCATACAGAGTGTTCAGATACTGAATGTCAATGCTGCACACTATACAGCGCTGACCCAGCAAGCACATGTAGTGCCATCTGAGTGACTGCCACTGGAGGCGTTCCTAGGCTGCAATGTTAACACTGCCTTTCCTCTGAAAAGACAATTTTTACAGCAAAAAGCCTGAAGGGAATACTTTTACTCACCAGAAAAACCTTATTAAGCTGTAGTTCTGGTGACCCTTTAAAAAAATTATACTTTTGATAATAAAAAATTTGCAATTTCTATCTTATTGTGTGAGGATTCCTTCCTCATTATTTTTGTATTTATTTTTTGTAGTAACCCTTGTAGAGTGGGTTTACGTGGATCCAGCACCTATAACTGAGTATACTCCATTAGGTGGTGCGGTTTGGTATATTCTGTGGGGTTTTTTAAAGTTCAAATATTCGTGACATATTTACTTTTAGCTCTCAAAAAACAATTCTTGATGTGTACCATTAAAAAAAAAGTTTTTTTTACGTCAAATCTATATATACCTAAATAGATAGAGCTTTCTAACTTTCTTGTCCAATACCTATATTACTATAAAGGTTACAATAATAAATAAAAAATACTAACCTATAAATGCGACTTCCTGAAAAAGCAAGTTTATAGATAGATAAAGAAGATAAATAACACATATCTCTAAAAAGAATTGTGAATTTATATTTCACATATCTGGAAACACTTCCAAACTGTAAATGAAAGAAGGCATATCCCTGTGGTTAGGTTATTTTATACAGGTTAATGCTGTAAGGAGGTCAAGCAATTTTTCCATTAGAGAGCTAAACACACTTCTAGTGGATGTCTTTAGGACAGCCTCTAGAAGTAATTCTGCTGTGAGAACCAAGTCAGACTCATAATTTCATTGGAGGAGCAATGAGGAACAGTATATAGACACCAGAACAACTACATTAAGCTGTAGTTCTTCTGGTGACCCTTTAAAAAAACTATACTTTTGATAATTAAAAATGAGCAATTTCTACCTTATTGTGTGAGGATTAGATTGAATGAGAAGACATTCGGCGTGATATAATTAATGGGGAAGCGCGATTCATACAAATGCAGGGACTGGATCTCAGCGCTGAAATACAGGTAATACCCTTCTTTCCAATTTTCAAATCAGATTGTAGAAGGGGATGCTGAATCTAAATGTTGCAATTAATAATAAAGCCTTAGGAATACAGCTTTGTATTCTTAATGCTATAGTGTTCCTTTAAAATCAGTGAGGTCCTATGAGCTCGCTTTCCAGCGATTCTGCACCTGGTACATTTATGAAAGTTATAGTTTGGAACCAGCTGTTGACCTGGAGGTTATATTTTCCAGCTGTCCTGCGATAGAGTGTCAGGATCAGCAATATCTAAGTCACATAAAATGCATACTTTGTTTTCTAGGTATCCCCTGGGCCCTTCCTTGAAAATGCCTGGAAACAGACAATTCTGGGAGACTGATGATCAGCCCTTTGGGACAGAAGACAAGACAGTTGACAGGGATCAAACAGAGGACAGAATGATAAAGAATTACATTTCAATACATAAACCGAAAGCAGGCATATGGAGATTTGCAACAAAACAACATTCTCACATTGCCTTTAACTTCTGTGGAATTAATTCATGATGTTCATTAATATGGAAAGCATATGTTGTACACAACAACAATAATTTCACACGCATGGATTCATTATTTTAATAAGAGATACAAAAACAAACCTCGCCTTAATAGCTATATATTGTATGTATTTTTTCATTTATATTGCATCTCCAGTATATATGTTATTGCATCGATGATGGTAAAGTATCAGAGAATGTGGAATACAGTTTAGATAAATAAGGAAAATCTTTGATTACATAATCAAGGATTGAAGTCATAGTCTTTGTATGTGAAAAGGATGTGTCCTACTCTAACATAAATCATATTTATTTAAACAGATCATGCTAAACTGTATATTTACATAGCTCACAATCTGCTTCATATGGCTGGTCACAATCAATCAAAACGGCTTTAGCTACAATAGTCCTCTTTTTCTCTGCTTAGATGCATTGCTGAAGGATCTGACACATTCATTGAGCCCTAGATAAATTATTTTACTCCTTGTACGAGAGAAAATCTTGCATGTTATTTATCATTGCTGTAAAGTACAAAAACTGTAACTAAATTATTAAATTTCTATTAGATGTCCAAAAACAAAATGACACACCTACATATGATGTACCCCGAAACAGGGCAAATTCTATATACATACAATTGAATTGCAGAAATGAAAGTTCTAACTAAAACAGTATTAAATAAAAGCATGAAACAATACAAAATGTGTGATAAAATATTTTTGTTATAATGTGAAATAAAGTATGTAATAAATGAAAAAAGATGTGTGATAAAATGTTTTTGTCATAATGTGAAATAAAGTATGCCATAAATAATACAAAGTGTTTGATAAAATATTTTTGTTATAAACTGAAATAAAGTATGTAATAAATAATACAAAACGTGTGATCAAATATTTTGTCATAAGGTTTTATACTTTAAAACTGCGCACTGGTACAAACAGAATGCATGTAATATTTGTTTTTCAATTTAGTTGATCTCAACGGTTAAAAGAGACTAAAAAGTAAGTACTGGACTTCATTTTAAGATTACTGCAGTATGGGGCACCTTTGATCTCAATAGACATTGGAATTCCTCATATTTATTGTACAATTCAGTTTTTTTTAATCCAATGATTATATGTCCCATGATTGCCAGATTTTTGTGGGGAACAATGAAACTTTACTTTGAATTACCCATACTGTATGGGAAAAAATAAAAAAAATCTTAATTATGATTTTTGCATAATTATACCTAAAACCTCCAAATAGATGGCAAATAAGTACATTTTATAGTATTGTTTATTTTAATATACATGCATTAGCCATTATTTTTAAAATAAATATAATATACCCATCTGAATATTTTGCACAAAGAAGAAAATTGTAGAATGTCCATGAAGAGCCTCGTGCTCTCAAATTGTTCAGGGCATAATTTAATTTCTTGGTGGTTAAGATTTGTCCTAATATATATATATATATATTAGGACAAATCTTAACCACCAAGAAATTAAATGGAAAGCATATGTTGTACACAACAACAATAATTTCACACGCATGGATTAATTAATTTAATAAGAGATACAAAAACAAACCTAGCCTTAATAGCTATATATTGTATGTATTTTTCCATTTATATATATATATATTACTTTATATGATATATATAGCATGTAATGCACTGACACACAGAAATATTTAAAGGCATTTGTTTTAACTTTACAATACACAAGATCTTTCCCCTCCTGTGCTACACATTTAAATATTAATAACTATTGTTTTGTAATATTAATATGCATAAATCTTAATTGTATCTTGATATGGTGTTCAGTTTCAATTGTGACTAAATAAATGATGGGGGAGTAACTGTATTGTGAATTATTTTATTTCTGACCTTTACTGTTATAGATTTGGACAGTTCATGATAGAAAGTGAAAATTTTCCTGCGGCAAGTGATTAGTGGAAATGTCACTGTATGCAGTTCTATATGTCTGTGTAATCAGAATGAAGCCTCTGTGAGTGCCTGAGGAAATCCCAAGTGATACTGTTGCATTCATTCTAAGATATATGATTAATAGTGCTAAACCGGATAATTGTAGATAAAAGGACCATGTGTACATGTGTGAATTTAGATGGGGGACAGACAGACATATTAGCCTTGATTACATTCTATTGGCATTACCCAGTCCAAAAAATTATCCACTGGCTTCGAACTACATTTTTATTGAATTTTGACTGGATTTAATGCTAGCTGAAATTCTGGCAGCCTAACCCAATAAACAGGTTTGAGAAAAATTGTCTGATAAATGTAATTAGGAAGCACATTTATCAGCCATTCTTAATGACTAACCCTGTTAGTCATTAAAAAAGATATCAAATAAAAGTCTGCAGGGGTCAAAATTATCTCCATGTCAGTTTATTACCTCCCTCACTTGCTGTGGGAACATGTTCCACTTACCAGGTCATGAGTTGGTGCTTGCCCAAGAGCAAGAAACCAACACTGCACGCTGTCATAAAAGACTAGTGGTCACTAATAGCATGCAGTTAGGCATAATAATAATAATAATAATCGGAACAGTGTGTCATATCCCTTTCTGCTACACTCACCACATCCACTTCTTTCTCTGCCCAATGCTGCACATACCAGGAGCAAGCTTCTGTCTGCTAATAAGAATAGGAAAGGGGGGTTGGACATATGAGTCCTGAGGAGAGAGGACTAGGTCCTGTGAATAGAGAGAGAAGGAGTAGATGAAAACTCTTGGGTTTGTACGATTGTTGAGCAATAGAAGAGAGAGAATGACATAGGGCATGAGCATTCTTAAAAATCTATCCTGCAAGTGTCCATCCAGCACGACCTCCACCAGATACAAGACACGTGGGAGTTATATCTGCCAGAAATATTCTGCAATTAGGATTAGAACCAGGCCAAAGAGACTCTTAATTCAGCACTGCATATTGTTTATAGTATTCTGCCATATTATAGTTGTTGAACCAAAGAGAAAATATTTGTGTTAGCTGGATTCTGAGACAAGTAAAAGGCAAATTCCTTTTACAAGTTAATTAAGCTTGATCCTCTGTGTCAATACCACATATCTGTCCTGTGACATCCTCCTTTGCCATACTGCCTCTGATCTTCTCACTGAATTTGATATTGATTGGAGGTCCATCACAGGCCTGCCTAGCAGACTATGAATGTTTGCCACCCTGTCTCAAAACTCTCTATGCGTTGAACTCTTTGGCTACCTACCATTTGCTTTATTTCCATATCATCTTGTATGTTCCTAAACATTCCCTAGGAGTCTTTTCCCATTCTAAACAATCTCAGGAAGTGGTAATTCACAATGAACTAACGAGGAAGCATTAGCCTGATCAGCCATGTGTGATGGTGAATGGCTGAAAGTGTCCGTTGACTGTTATCAGCCTATCACAGCCAACCTTTGATAATTTGAATAAGTATGGCTAAGGAAGGGTATATTCTCTGCTTTAACAATACCTCCAGCGGGGCCCAGGCTGTGAGTGGTCAGGTATTGTTATTTAGTGTCAAATTGCTTGAAAATGGTTTAACACTGAATGGAGGGACAGCACCAGTGGACTCAAGACACTATAACCAATTAAATCTGATGCTTAGAGTGGAAGGAATGCAATTGTGGATTTGCAACTGCATATAAAGTATTATTTTATAAATAGGGGTTTGGGTAACTTTAACAGTGATAATACTGTATTATTTTCTTGGACATGCTATGTGCTTGAAAACTGGTAGTCATCCTTTATTTTAATCTCCCTACTTATTCCCATTATTATAAACTAAAGAAGAAAAAAAAAAATCACATGTAACTGTGTCTGCACACAGTGTCAGCGAGGGTAACAAATAAAAGTATAATGTTGTTCAATAGGTCTGATCTTCTTCTTGTGTCCCCTAGCATATCTAGAATGCCAACAGATGTAGGAAACTGATTTATTTTCTTAGACTCCAATGAAACATTGAGAATTAGAAAATATCTGTTTTAATGTCACTGAGATAAAGTCAGGTGACTGGGGACTGCAGCACTATGCCAGATAATTAGATGCTCTTCCGCAGGCCTAACACTTGGACAGGGGTTCTCTAGAAGGTATGATAGATGCAGATCCCCAACGATTGATTTTTTTTTCCTGTCTTACAATATTATGACAAATTGGAGTTTTTTCAAAAAAGAAGTTGAATTACTACTCCTCCTTGAAGATCTAGTGAAGTGGCTATCGGTGAGCTGTCTAATCACTATGACTCACGGACCATTAGAATTCATCATAACTGTTATTTTCCTTTTGCAAATCACTCTGTTGCAGTCAAGCAAAGAAAAATTTGTTCTCTGCACCAGAAAAGACAAGTCACTTTAACATTCCCCGTGCAGCAGTAAATCTGTTAAAGCATTGGCCAAGAAAATGTTACTCTCCAGTTTCTCTTGCCTGGCTTAGAGTGTTTGGACATAGCATTTGTGCAATGATTAGGTTGTTAACTCTTTCCAATGACAGATATAGGGACAGTGAAACACAGCTTATTTATAAAAAGGTCAATTATTTAGGTAAATTATATTTACAATGACTACAAAGGCCTGAAAAGTATGTAACATAATTTAAGGGGTCAAAATAAACATCAAAGCAAACACTTTAAACAGAGGGGTTAAAAACAGCAAAAATCGCTGCAGAAATGTAAATACCTTGTGTGCGTTTGCTGGTATTAAAGGAACACTATAGGGTCAGGAACACAAACATGGATTCCTGACCCTATAGGGTTAAAACAACCATCTAGCCCCCCCTGATCCCCTCATGACTCCCTAAAATTATTAAAACTTACTTCAAGTCTGCAGATGCATATTCTGTCCCTCTTTCCTTTAGACCTGCCTGCTCACTGCCTGCTGACATCAGCAGAAGTGGTAGCCTGATCCAATCACAATGCTTCCCCATAGGATTGGCTAAGACTGACAAAGAGACAGATCAGGGGCAGAGCCAGCACAATTCAAACACAGCCCTGGCCAATCAGCATCTCCTCATAGAGATGAATTGAATCAATGTATCTCTATGAGGAAAGTTCAGTGTCTGCTTGCAGAGGGTGGAGACACTGAATGTTTGGATGCATTTTAGGCAGCCATGACCCAGGAAGGATCTCCAACAGCCATCCGAGGAGTGGCCAGTGAAGTTCTCACTAGGCTGTAATGTAAGCACTGCATTTTCTCTGAAAAGACAGTGTTTACAGCAAAAAGCCTGAAGGTAATGATTCTACTCACCAGAACAAATGTAATAAGCTGTAGTTGTTCTGGTGACTATAGTGTCCCTTTAATGGCATGTATCAAAGTGGAATGCTTGTCATGTCCTTACCTCTCCCAGAGAAAATCTATAAGCAGGGCTGTGAATATAATGATTACATACTTCTCAACAACTGCAGAGGGGAAAATTCAGGGGGCATCTCCAGTGACCCATAATAGTTAGGCCTGCCTACTGGCAGGCTACTTACTGGCTCCCAGTCTTTAGGACATTATGTACTTGTGCTTTGCAGCCCAGGGAAAGTTCCCTTGTGTCCGCAGATACAGGACACCAGAGGACAAAGTTGGACTGCGGAACATGACTCTGAAATTGTCACAGTTTGGAGGTCTGTGATAATATTTGCAATAATCATACCTCCTAACTGTTCCTATTTAGCATAGGCAGTCCCTATTTTCTGCCTAAATCTCTCTGTCCATCCTTTCTGCCTTAGTGTCCCTCATTTCCAGGAGCTCCACATTGTTGGTGTGTATAACAGAGCCCCTCAACGGTAATACTCATTGTTCATCCATAGGGGCACCTGGGGCAAAAAATATTTGAAATAGTTTAGAAACAATTAGATTATTTTATGGAAGAAGTTGGGTAATTTAATATTTTTTTATTTTTTTAAAGAGTAGATTAACCAACTCCAACTACTCCCTGTGTGTATGCCAAAATATATAAAATAAATAAATCTATGTTTCTTTAATCCTTCCCCCTCATTAGTTTCTTTAATCCTTCCCCCTCATTGGTAGCTGTGTAGAAAAGCTTTCTTAAGAGCAATTAGGCATGTCAGAATAATGGGACAATCTTGAAATCTGCCCTGTTACGTCAGATTTTACACATGCCTAGTCTCCTTTATGAAAGAACATCAAGGGAATAACACTAAGTTGCCATTCAGGTAGTAGAGCCAGCTGATCATGAGTGGAGGCATGCTATTGGCCTCTTTATTCAGGGCCCATATTGGCTCATAACACCAGTTTGTGGGGTGGGGTGACAGTGCCCAAAACAGAAAGAAGCAAGAAGCCATCTTGAAAGTAGAATAAAGAAAGCACACCAAGATCCCTGCCCATGCCACATGTATATGTGCAAGATTATAATTTTCGCTCCTCCAACAATCAGTGTTTGCCTAGGGGCTGATTAAGCAATTATGTAAGGAATATTACGTAAGGCGATCTGCGGCGATCACGGTCGCGGGGGGGGGGGACTGTCGGAGACCCCAGCAGTCCCCCTGCAGCAGCTC